AGAGTTGGCGGTGGGTGGTGATGACTAGCTGCCTTCCCTCTAGTCTTACACTGCTAAATTAGGGACGGCTAGAGCAGATAGCCCTCGTGTAGCTTTGTGCGAAATTCATAACAAACAAACAAACATTTCAATGATTAAGAAAAACTTTGATAAAATATTTATTCTGGTTAACATGGAACCGCCATATTGAGATTAATGAAAGCTACACAATGGGCTATATGTTCTCTGCCCGCCATGGATATCGAAACCTGGTTTTTAGCATTGTAAGTCCGCAGACATACCGCTGTGCCACTGGGGGGTGGGCATTAATGAAAGAAAACGTTCTTAACTTTAGTTTCGAACCAATTCTACCATGATTGACTTTAATCTCGGTAAAACTAAATAACGTTCCAAATATGTGTTTTATCATAATATTTATACGCAAACCCATTGAAATGATATTATGATATTGAATATTAATTCTCTACCTACATGTACACATCTATTTATCTGAACAAAACAAATAAGCGTATTCCGCACTTAATGTTGAAAGAAAGAAATATAACATGTTAATTTTACAATTGTTTTTTAATTGACGTACATTTTCATTGAACATCCTTTAGCGACGAAAGGAAATAGTATTAAGGATTATAGAAAATTACCAAATGTGTGAGTGTTTTAATGTAATATGGAAATCTCTATGTGAAAATCATAGAACTTACTTGCTAAACTTTAAAGTAGCTTTGCCATTTCACAAATTTTTAGAAGATATTTAACAAATTAATGTATCATTCTTATCGGTTTTAAAATCATTACTGATTCGTGGAAAATGTGTAAGTTCTGTACAAAGGCCCCCACAGTGGCACAGCGGTATGTCTGCGGACTTAGAACGCTATAATCCGGGTTTCGATACCCATTGGTGGGCAGAGCACAGATTGTATAGCTTTGTGCTTAATTACAAACAAACAATATAAAAAACTGTTCAAATTCTGTTTTTTTTCGTTATAAAAAACTATGTACATTTAAGTTTTAGAAATGACTACTTACAGAAGTAACAGAAGTTTTTCCTTAGCAGTAGAATGTAACTCATTATTCAATTTCTATAGTAAATATTGGTGTGTAAAAGAAAAATAACAACTATGGTGTTATAAAGTTGTTTATTACTAATATCAAAATGTATTTTATACACCAATATGCGCTATAGAAATTGAAGAGGAGCGGTTTCTGTTTTAGTGGAACGCTCCTGAAGAAGCTGTAAACGAAACGTTGAATGTCCAATTAAAGAAAAATAACAAATTTGGTGTTGTGAGGTAGTGAGTTGTTAGTATTAAAATGTGACTGTATATATAAATAACAACAACAAAAATTTGACTTCTCCCCTCCGGACAATGTAATTACTTGTAGACGTGACAGAAAAATATTTTTGTGGGTTTGATTGAAAAATTATGTTCATGCAAAACTTAAATAGTTATCTGTATAAGTGTTGGGAAAATAATATTTGTATGATCCTTGAAAAACAACCAAGTGATAAAGCCTTAGTCTAATCTATTTTTATAAACAAGATTAATTATAAAAGGCATGAAATATTTAAATAACTACACGAAAACTGTAGTTAAACATGTTAATAGCGACATCTACAATTACTACTAAACTATGGTAATCGTGATGATGTAAAACGAAACGTTGAACTTCTTGAAATGATTTTTATGAACTGTTGTATAATAAAGACTTTGTAACATTTCAGATTATGTTTTCGTAAAGACGTGACTGTTGCTCAATGGGTAGCTGTAGTTCTGATAACTTTCGCCATTGCTCTGAGTCAGTTTCGTAGCCTTACAGTGGAAGGTGCTTCTGTGCCGCTTGTGGCAATATCCCTAAGCATCATCAACAGCTTATTGGCTGCTGTTGTATCTGTATACACAGAGGTAAGAACAGATGGTAGCTTGTACTACTTGTATTGATTTGTCCATATATAGAAAACAAATATATGAAAATATGTAAAGGTCGAGAAAAAAAAATATTCATATGAAATGGGATAAACTGGTTAAAATATCCGATATGCGAAACGATATATATTATAATTTTGTATAAATGTGTTGTTTTGCGTACCCGAACAGAGGGAACAAAAAGAAACAAACGATCAAAATCCAAAAACAGTCTGAAAAATTATTGTTTTATTGAATAGAACGTAATAATTAGTAGGTGATGAAAGAAAAAAGTACATGTTCTATTGTTTAAAACGCTCATTTACAGCAAAAAAGAGAAAACTTTTTTTCCACAAAAGTTTTTTAATTTAATATGTCTAGCTTTAGTATTTTCAATTTATATTATTGTATTTTATTATATTGTTAGTTTATTATATGGACTTAAGTTTGTAATTAAGCACAAAGCTACACAATGGGCTATCTGGGGTATGACTTGTTGCAGGTCTTTAGATGAACTTGGTGCCCTAAGATGATCCGTATTCCTTTTTTTTTCCCAATGCCATTAAACACAAGGGATATTTCCGTACTGAAAATACTAAATCTCTGACCTGAACGCCCCCAGTGGCACAGCGGTATGTCTGCAGACTTACAACGCTAGAAACAGGGTTCCGATACCCGTGGTGGGCAGAGCACAGATAGCCCATTGTGTAGCTTTGTGCTTAACTTCAAACAAACAAACTGACCTGGACACACTTTTCATGATCTGGGTATCTGTATATTTTGCGACGGAAAAGGCTGTTACAGATTCTTATCCAAAACCGATAAATTTTATGTAGCATCACACAACGTACGAAAAGCCAAACAAGTCAAAATTTAGTTCTGATACGTGACGTCGCACCTCGACTTAATATTAACTGTAATTGTTACGTGACTTGACGATTTTACATTAAAAATAATTTAAATATAATGTACTTAACCTTCAGCAAACTTATAGTTCGATTATTTAATTAACCTATATGTATTTCAATAAAACCGACTCACTGTACGATATCAAATGTTGAATTGTCTTGAACTGCTGTACCGGGTACGGCCTAATGGTTAGGATACCAGACTGTAGGATCCTAGGTTCAAGGTTCGTACCAGCAATATGTTACTAAAAATGCCCCACCATTTGAGCTGTGGGCATGTTATAAGGTTTACAAGTGAGAGTACATTACAATATTTGGTTGTTGCTGTTTCAAAACTACACAATGGGCTATCTGGACTCTGTCCACTGCAGGGAATCGAACCCCGAAGTTTAATATTGTAATTCGCTGATTTGTTAACAGTAGTTGTGTCGGAGGTGGGTACTGCTGACCGGTTGTCGTCTTTCGTTTAGAAGTGGCTATGCCTGAACTTCTGGTCTCTTGAACAGGCTATATATTGTATTAGGTGGTGCTCGGGTAAAGACTAAAAAGTACCTTACCTTGAGCCCCCTAGTGGCTCAGAGGTAAGTCTGAAGATATATAATGCTAAAAACCTGGTACCGATACCAGTGGTGGGCACAGCCTATTGTGTAGCTTTACGCTTAACAACGAACAAACAACAAAAACCTAAATATATTGTTTTTTCATCGAGTTTCTTACACTTTAATTTTTCGGATAGTTTAAGGCCAAGCCTCACCTAATGATCAGACTGGCGAACTATGGATTTAAGAGTCAACTTTTCGTGTTCCGTTATCGCTAAATCACGAAAAAACAACAACAAATCCGACTAATCGGTGACACAAAAGAAGAGGAGGGAGCTCTTGCCTTCTCTCAAAATTAGGGATAGCTATAGCGGAGATAGGCCTAGAGTAGCCTTTCGGGAATATGTAATGTACTCAACTATCAACATCACGAAGTAATAAGATCCATAATTCACACCGTAACTTATTAATAGTTTTCATAAGATAATCTAACAAGACATCTTCTTACAATATATAAAGTAGGTTTAAAATGGTACCTATATAGCGTAAGATACATTTTGAATAGGATTTCCAGTGATTACCTAACAAACAATGAGCATGTGTTGATCTTATTGTAGAGTTTTGGATTTTGGAGCTAGCGAGCTGGTTTCGAATCCGTGAGATACCACAAAATATTCCCCGCAATTTAAGCTCTGGTTGCGTTATAAGAGTGATGGTCAAGTCCTTAGCGAGGATAGTTGGTGGCAGAGTGCTGCTGATGTGCTACATTCCCTTAGGGTAGTTGTTCAAAATTAGTGACAGCGGCAGTTAATCTTAGTAGCTTTGCTATAAATACATATACGAGAACATGGAAAACAAACAAACAAAGCATAATGTAATTAATAATTTATTACATGATTATTTATACACTAGCTATCACATGTAATTCATAATTCATTACATAATTATTTATACACTAGCTAGCACATGTAATTAACAATTTATTACATGATTATTTATACACTAGCTATCACATGTAATTCATAATTTATTACATGATTATTTATACACTAACTAGCACTCTGATTTGTAAATAACTTAAATAAAATTATTAGTAATTAAACTTCCCTGACTTAACTTAGTTCACGCGATAACAGTTGTTGTTCATTCAACTGATGATGTAAATAGCGGCTCGATCACTACTGCGATGAGCTCTGGTATTGAGAAAATGGCTCCGTCGGAAATGGCTCTGGCAGATATAGTGTGAGTGACATATTACTGCATATTCTTCTCTGTTTTCATTCATAAGTTCTTAGAATTACAATCAGAATTTATAAGTCCCTGAAAAGAATACTATTTTCACACTTAGGTTAATTTATCCACCTTTCTTAAGTAAATAAATCAAGCAAACAAAATTTTTTTCGGTAATTCCACAATTTAAAAAAAATATCCTATGTCAGAGAATCCGACTGAGTTGATACAGAAACTTAAAATACTATACGTTTGTTAGTATTTGTTTGTTTTTTGTTGTTAAGTATAAAGCTACACGATGGGCTATATGTACTGTGCCCAACACTAGTATCAAAACCAGGTTTTTAGCGATATAAGCCTTCAGACTTAGCGCCGAGTCACT